CTCGGGGTGCAACCAAATTCAGAGGGTGGAACAGATTAACTGTATTTACATTGAACCTTATGGGAAAATTTGCCTTGGGTTGCGACCAATTCGAGTTGCGACCAGAGTCACGGAACGGATTAAGTTCGTAACCCGAGGTACCACTGTAAACAAGGTTGGTCTTCATTCATGCAAACTGTTTGCTGCTTCAGATCATACCACAAGAAATCTCTAGTATGAAAAGAAAGTAAAATATTTAAGAAAATTATATGCAGCCTGACTCCCAGCAACTCTTTAAAATTAAATCTTGTATTTATCTGCTGTGTCAACTAATTGCCCTTTTTGTCTAACCTCTGTTAGTTTGAGATCTCTGATTATTTTGCTTAAACATGTAGATTTTGATGATAAATGTGCGGAAATAATGTTGAACTCCATTGAAATTTATCAGATCAGAGAGCCCTTTAAAATGACAGGATGAGTGATAGATAAAAGCTCCTACCTCTTCCTAATAGGGTTAGCATGATGTCTCATGGTATTGTAGGCATATTTGGTTCATGTATAGTCCGGTCCTTATAAGCATCCTAATGTGATCCTGAAGTAAATATAGACTTTCTTATTGGGTTAGTAGCACCAATATATGATGGAGACAATGTAAGCTAATATCATTCAGATCAGCTTCCACTGGTAGGTGTTCAGATGCTGCTTGAAGAAGTTTTGCATATTGAAGTGTTCTCAACACGCAAGGCTCAGAAATGAGCAGGAAAACGTTGGTTAAAATATAAGGCGAGGAGAAAGAAATGCAGAATAGTTAATATAATATGGTTGATTGCTATTCTTAGGAGCTGATCCTCATCATTATAAGAGCTTATTTCACATCTGCAGTTTAAGCAACTTATCTATCTGAGCTTTATCCTTAAATCTTCAACTTTTAAGTTCATGAGCAATCTTAGGAAGAAATGTATTGCCATTCCCACTGTGAACTTCTGACATTTACTAGTATGTCAGCCTCTATTTTACTCCAAAGGTTTTTTCCCAGTTGCAGTTATCCATGCTGTCAGAACTTCTAGACTGGACTTCAGAGATTGCTTTCTGAAGGTGAAATCTCAAATACAACTGCCAGACTGCCAAATGAGAACACTTGCTTTGAGCATATAGCACTGGTTAATTCTGGGCTCAGTTCAAGGTGCTAGGGTTGACATTTAAAGTCTTTCATGGCTTGGATCAGGGGTAACTGAAGCACTGCCTAAGATCATAACTGAAGGTTCTTTTCTACCTTTGCCACATAGAGAAATGAACATTTCAATGACTGTATGCTGACCTTGTGCTGGTCTCCCCAGACAAGATCTCTATAGTCATCTTATTTTGACACCAGGCAAAGAAATTTTTTATTTTCCCTGCCCTTTTTCCCGAATTACTTTATACTGTATGATATTATGTTCTTTTTATGTATTTGTATTGTTTGTGTATTGCTTGGTCATGGAGCATATAGTTGAAGGGCAAAATGTAAATAGTCATGTAAAACAAAATGATTCTTTTAAGCAGAGTATGTTGAATAATATCTGTGAATTGATTCTCTGGTGTCTTGTGATTAGGAAGAGATTCCTAGGTGAAATAAATCTGTATGTTTTGTTTAAAGCCGATCACATGCAGAGGAATGCAGTCAAATTATAATGGTGACAAAGTGCCGGAAAAGGGAGTGGAACTGAAGAGTAAGAATAATTGAGCCACAGGCAGTGGGGAAAGAGCTGGGAATACTGGTTTGGCCAGGCCTCAGGGCCAGGTTACACATTCTCCCATGCATTAACAGCCACAAGAGATCTTTGTTTAAAGGGGGATTTTCCCCCTCTTTTGGGCACTTTGTCATTTTTGTAGCAATAGTAGTCCTTGGGAAAAGAGAAGAATAGGTAAGGAGGATAACTGTATTTCTTCTACTGTGTAGTTTAATGATCTTTCATGTCTCATAGTTACAAATGTTATCTTAACTGTATTCTCAATTAAATCCTTAGTTATTAGAATATCTCAATCCATTCTCTAGTAATAATAATAAAAAATTGTTCAATTATCATCTGATTTAACAAAGGAAGCCAAACACACACACACACACACACACACACACACACACACACATGCAGACACACATACATGTGCAGACAGAAATCCTAAATACGCTTATTAGGGAGAAAGCCGAATTGAACATAGGATATGAATATGATTGCATAGCAAATGCCACTTATTTTATGTCAAACAAATACTCAACACAATGAAAATGGGATTATTGTCAAAATAAACAGATTTGAGAAGATATAAGGAAAATTTCCCAAGCCCATGAAAATTAACAGGCAACTTTCACTGTTTTGAATTGGCATGTTTAAAAAATTATGTTGTAAAATCAGTATAATGGTTTAAATTGTCTAAACTTAACACCACCCAGTAAGCAATGTTTAATGTCCCTTTAATTCTAATACAGCATATTGGGACACAAAAAGAAAACAGTTTAAAAGCAGCACCTTTTGTGTGTGTTTCTATTGTTTTAAATGTATTATTCATGATTTTTGAGGTCTGTCCAGTGATGCATGAAAAGAGCTTTTTCTTTGTTATCCCTCACAGCTAATGGGAAGTTGGAGATCTTCAATTCAACGTCATGTTTGACGGATGGATTGCTAGAAAATCTCCAATTGCAGCCTTTTTGTTTGTTTATTTGGCAGCAGAACCTAGTTCATGTTTCCACTCCTACTTGTTTACTTATTTATGTACTTCAATATGACTACTTCTGTGATGTCTACAGACAGAACTAGTTATAGTCTTGAATTTCCAGTATAATGAAGAATGAAAGATAATGTTGCAGAAAGATGCTATGTATCTCTCTGTTTTAAAGTAACTTGTTATAGACAGATAGATGCCTTTAGCACACACACATTTTGTTGAGCTATAAATGCCTTCCATTTTGCCTTGTGCTTTGTAATGGCCTTGGGAAGCAAGTCTTACTTAGGGTAATGGCCTTGAAAATGAAAGTATCAGACTTAGCCACTGTTATTTGCTATTGTGGCCTTGTATGGAAGGGTAAAACTAGACCAAGAATGTTTAATGGAAAGTAGATTTTTGTATTAAAATTTGTACAAAAATGTTTTATGCAGATGTGTAGAATTGGCCTACATTAATGTTACTTTTGCTAGGTTTACCATAAAGATTCTAAAGTTACATCTAATGGTATGGACTCTCCCACCCCTCTAGACCTACTGTATCATGGAAAATCTGAGAATTTTGGTTGAGTTATTGAAAGAGAATATTTGGAATGATAGTGAAAAGTATGTACAAGTAAAGCCTTGAATGTCAATATATTTGTCAGTGGACCAACAAATGCCAATAAATAAGCATTATTGGATAAAGAAGAAATAACTGTTTGTTACAAGTAATGTATAGGCCAAAATTTAACAGTAAGGATGGCCAGAATAAGAGGAGAGGAAAGGGCGAAGTAAAGGTAATGGAGGATGGAACATGCGGTAACACCTGCTTAAGCTAGACTATTGAAGTTGACACTAGCTAATTAGCCTGAACTCACCTTTCTAGCTCCATGAGAACAATATCCTTCCAAATTTGTGTTAATAATAAACAGCTACAATAGCTCTAGTTTTGTAACTTGCCATGCATTTGAGGGGTCGGTGCTCAAGAGCTTGGTGATGGAATGCACAAGCATTTCTGAAGCATTTCTGAAGTTTGCTTCTCCCACTGTTATATATACTTTTAAAAATAGTTTTATTTCATGCAGAAGATTTAGGGAATACTCATGCTTTGCTTTGTCAACCCACCAGGTGTTATATTTAGACTCTGACCTCTTGATACTGTTGGTTAAACAAAACCTCCTTGGTTTGTGACTGATATTGTTCCTTTTTAATTTAAAAATGAAATGCTTGTTTCCTACCCTCTGTATTGTTTTGGGCAGATACCACTTGCTCTGTCTGCATTGGACTAGTTTATAGCTTTGAGCTTTGCTTGTGAATTTATTCCTTTGTGTGAGGATTAATTGTAAACCAAATGCTTTGAAATGGAAATAAACTGTAAGCGGTGACTTGGAAAACAGGAATGAGAAAGTGACCAGGAAAAAAAAGGTTCCGAGTTTAATATTGACCAGAAAAAGAAGCTGGCCAGTTTAATAGCCAGTTTATTAAACTGACCCTTCCCCCTCCCCCCAAAAACAGGATTTTAGAACCATCATAACATTATTCATGGAGCAATAACATAAATTCATTTGCAGATTCATATTTAAAATAATTTTAAACAAAATATAGATGCATACCAGGTTCCTAAAATTGTGCATCAGAATGTCAGAAGCATACGATAACTATGGGAAGAAATACTGTTCATTCACATCCTCTGAATGGGTGGAAAATAATGAGATGCATATATCAAAGACTGCTAAATCACTGGAAATATGTACAGCCAGTATAATGCGCTAGAAGTTTTCTAACTGGAAAGGAGTGTTGTTGCTTGTGTACTAGGACCGTAGTATATTCTATTGCTATAAAGTGGATTACATTGACTGGCTAATTCTGTTTCCCTTTTCTTTTGAAAACTGGAACAGTAATAAAACACCAGTTCTTTGTGGTGATATCATAATTTTCATGAAGTCCTATATGGCTCTGACTTTACATTGTCTTTTCTTCCTGCAGAGTGGCTGGGGTCCCAGTGAAAGAAAGGGTCAAAGTTTCTCAGAATTGGAGGCTTGGACGCTGTCGAAGAATTCCACTCCTCAGATGGAAACGCAAGCAAGTTATTCCTTTTCTTTCTTCACCCTACTATCTACAGCTAGAGTTACCTTTCTTTGGAGTTCATCCCATTTTTGGTCTTTGTTGGGCTGTTACGTTGAATTTGGACACTTTGTGATTGCTTATTGTAAGGCTCTACTAGCTTGTATCACTAACATTCTTTTAATATTCCAGTTCTCAATAAATTCTTAGTCTCAATTTTATGCTATCTTTCTCCTGTTACTTAAATGTAGAATGTGGTGGATTACTGGTTTTAAATAGGATTGACTAAAGGCTGGTGAGAAAATAGCCTCTCTGTCATTACTTGTTGGTTCCAAGAGGGACAAGGACTTTTCCAAATAATATGTTTTCCAATACAACAAATATATAGTTATTGGCCATTTTGTTTAGGAAAAACTTCAACCACATACTTTGAATTGAAATTTATGTTACAAGGGCATTGATGTCTTAGCACTTAAGGAAAAATATATTGTTGCTTGGAAAATTAAATATTTTCCCTTTAGCTAGTATATTAATGCTGAAGTATCTATTGGAGACTATCTGTGATATTCTTAGGAATAAGTTCTCATCCATCCACCCCAAATGACTGCATCATTTAAGAAGCAGGGTTTTTTTTTTTTGCAAAACAAAAAGACAGTAAAAAAATACAGAATTAAAAAGAAAAATAGAACAGTGGCATACTCAAAAGCAAGAAAAAAATTGTGTGTGAAATATAATACACATGGGGCTATACATATACATACACACACACAAACACACACAGACAATAATTTATATGCCTTGTACTGAGACTTGAATAAATAAATACAGTGGTACCTCGGTTCACAAACTTAATTCATTCCGTGACTCTGGTCGTGACCCGAATTGGTCACGTCCCGAATCAAATTTTCCCATAAGGTTCAGTGTAATTACGGTTAACCCGTTCTGAACCATATATATATATATTTTTTAAAACCACAAAAATATGAAACAAAATACAGTACAGTGCAGTATGAAGAGAGAGAACGCTAACCTTGCTCGAGGCGACTTCTGGCGTGGAGGACAGGAAGGCGGGTGGGGAGGCGGTTATTGCTTGGAGGGAGAGTCCCCCTCCCTACAGGAAGCCACGACCACATGTCACGGCAGCGAAAATGGCCACGGATCCTGTTCATCCCCTGATGTGGAGTTTGCGGACGGAAGCAAAATTTTGCGAACGGTGCTGTTCGTGACCCGAATTGGTCGTGAACACAAGCGTTCGTGACCCGAGGTACCACTGTACACATGTACATATCTTGATTTAATGGACCTTGGATTAGCAGACTTCAATTTAACAGACAGACCTACTGGATCTGAATTCCAGACCTGAATTTCAGGTGGTAACAGATTTTGCTGCAAATAATAAGACAAATCAGTCTGGAGAATATTTTCTGTTTCCCCTGAATAGTGAAAATGTATTCACTATTATCTGAAAATTAGGTTTTCTTTTGTATAAATGTTTTTTGGGGCTTGAAAAAATCCCATTTGCCATTTAATAGTTATTCCGTTTTTAAACTATATAGGGCATACGGTGTGTCTGTATATGTGTATATATATTGGTTGTCTGTGTATGCGTATGATCTTAATGCAAACATTATAATGACTAACTTAAATTGGTAAATGTATCCTTCATTACCATTTTTCCCCAAGCTTTTGGTAGTTGTGTAATTTTTTTCTGCTGGAGCAATTTCCCATATTTTAAATGCCCCTGATCAGATGAAAGGAGCATTTTAGTTTATGGTGTTTTGTGATAACAAAGCTGGTAGTTAACAACAAGAATTGAAGCAATTTCTTAAATTGCATTCATTTATATAGTATAGGAAATATGGGGAATGAACCAACAGTAGGCTTTTTATAAAACACTGTTGACTGATTTTACCAATTTCTTTCAAAACTTTCAACCAAAAGGACTGGATAACAAACCATAGCCACAAAAGGCAATAATATATACTATTTTGTCTACAACCTTGCCAAAACACTCAAAAATTAGAATTTAAATGGTTCAATTTAAATGGATTGTAGTGCTGCTTATGAATCATCGTCATAGTCAATTCTTGATAATTTGTTGAAATTGATTGAAAAGAAATTCTGTGCTATAAAGAGAGCAGTGAACGTCATCAAGTTCAAATCCCAAATAATCTTCACAAAGTTTTATTAATACTTTCAAGAGAAACTGGTCGTGCTTAGTATAAGAGCTTTATATAATGATAATGAGATTCCCTTGCTATTAAATGAAGTAGATATACACCATTAAATGTTATGAATGGTCTTGATGAGACCTATATATTTTAGAAAGGAATGATTAAACTTGGCCAGAACCATTTTGTGACTCGTTAGGTTGGCATTTTATTTCTTTTTTCTTTTTAGATTACTTTTACTTCCTCTAATGAACCACTTTGTTGTTGTTCATTTTTCTTGCAATGTCTGCTATTATATAGAAGGCTTCCCTGTCACAGTGTTTTTCTGGTATAGTTTTTTGTGCTTGTTTTCACATCTTTTATATGGAAAGGCACACTTGCCCCTACCTACCCTGTTTACCAATATTTTGTTTTAAGTTGGCAAAATAGAAGTACAAGTACACCCCTATAAAGAAGGTTGTTTTTTTTTTAATTTGAGATGATTGAGTTAGGATTAATACAAAATAAAGCATGGATTTTTTAAAAATGGAGAAATTTGAAGTTCTAAAACTATAGTGTTCTAATTTAGGATTTCATTTCACTTACATTTGAAATCAAATTGATTTTATGTACGCCACCCAGACTAATATGTAGATTGAATATTGGGTCTCCTTCAGATGTTGGACTTTACCAAATGTTATGATGTGGTTTCTGGATATATATTTTTAAAGAGAAAACGCATTTAGAGACCTATAAGTTGCACAGATTACAAATATGATATATACAATGTTTGCATTGATTTTTATATAGCAGATTTATGCATTAAGTATGAATAAATACCACATGAAACCATTACCAACTGGAAGTTGGCTGATTTCTGTTCAAAATATTTTCCCCTCCAGTTTAATGCCCTGGATGCAGCTAGATGGTGACTACCTCTATCTATCCCAAGCAGAAGACATCCACCTTTATTGGCTCCATCCTAAAGATGCCAGTTTGGTATGGTGTCCTCAGACAGTTTTCTCTGGTCACCAGGAGGATGTATGCCGATTTGTAATTGATAATGGCCATATTATCAGTGGAGGAGGGTAAGTTCTTTGTTGAAGAGAAACAGGGAGGAGAGTGAAGATTGTTGAGCAAGTAGCATTGATATATAGATGCACTTGAACCAAAACAGGAAGAATTGACTTTCAGAGCACCTGCATTGTGTGATTGCTTTCTACTGGTTATGGAAAGAGCTTCAGTGAGCTATATAGTTCCTTGCCTCTTCTTGTTACACCAAAATTCAAATAATTGTGCCAAAATATAAGAAATGTATGGAATGTATAATGCTGAGAGAGATTCTGAATTTTATTCAACAGGTATAGAGATAATCTGATTTTCTTAGTGCAAAATAGGAATTGTCTGAACATGTAATTTTTTTATAACATGCTGGTAATTTGCATGAAACTAAAACTCTAGACCTGATGTTTTTTGAAGAACATATACCCTGAAAGGTATATTTTAGGATAAATCTGTAGATGCCTTTTCCCATGCAGAATTTATTAGCACTTTAAATGTATACTGAACTCTGTATGTTATTAAACATATGTTCTGCTGATATGTCTACTATCACTCCTGCTAGAGTCTGAGGAACTGTTCTTCTGTTAATTTCCTTTTCTGCTGTAATCTTGCACATATCTGGTGATTGCTGTGTAGAATAATTTAAAGCAAAATCCAATAAATTGGCTCATACTGCAGAATAACAGGTGCCCTATCTGGATATGTCCAGCTATTTGCCAAATGTCACAATATTTTATGCCTTACAATCTTATATGAGAAGGTGACTTTCTTGCTTGTGATTTTATTTTCCAGAGATGGAAATATTGCCCTCCATAAACTTAATGGTTCCTTCAGTTTCAAGATCCTTGGGCATGAACAGGAAGTGAACTGTGTGGACTGCCAAGGGTCTATCATTGTGAGTGGTTCTCGAGATAGAACAGCAAAGGTGAGCACATACATTGTACAGTATATTTGTGCTACCAGACCAGTGTGTATAAAGACAGTTGAGGGATGGGGGCAGTATATAGTTCTTATATTTAACTTTGAGAACAAATAAAAACCCAGTGCCAAAGTCCTGCTAAATTCAAGAGGCAGAGAGCAAGAGGAAGAGTTGTATAAAATTCCTTTTATTGTTTTTTCCAATTTCCTTCTCTCTGTTTCTTCTCTCAGTACATTTAGATAATTATTTTTAGAACCAGGATTTTTTTTGCTGTTCTATATACATAGATTAGAAGTAATTTCAGCATTTACTGAAAAGCAGTTCTGTGTAATTTGGAAGTTTCTGAATTCTTTCCCGGAAGCTGTTGTAAAAACCATGGTTAAATATGAGTTATACTATTACAAACTCTGTTACAGGGTTCATATGGTGTGAAATGGGACCGTGATCCAAACCATATAATATAGAAACATGACTCATTAGGTTCAGTGGAACTTGTATCAAGAAAGCATGTTTCGATTTGGGCCTTTTTCTGCATCACAGTGCATCTTGGAGGATTTTGCTGACTTAATAGAGTTGTAAAAATAATGCATACCCAGTGTTTATAGTTCCTATATGAATGAGAAGATAGACAATTATTTAGTTATGCTGGATAATCTGCTATGTAGAATTCTATGAAGGCCCAGTGTGCTTGCTCTGTTACTCAGAACTTTGAAGGCATCTCATGACCTTGAGGGCATTTTGAAAGTCACAGGGAATTTTCCTTTAATTGTCTTCATTGTTGTTTTTTTCAAGGCAGAAATGGAATCTGGCTCAGCTAACACTCTTCAAGCCTGATCCTTATGAGCAGGGAATTGCTTTTATTTTTACCCTGACATTTTCCTTGTGTTAACTCCTAGCTTGAAGGGAATCCCTATTAGGTCCCTAATGGGAGCTGTAAGTGCATTGGGTGCTTTGGAAGGATAGTGAGTGTTGATTAGGGCTGAGCTTTGAGTAGCTGCTAATGCACATTCCACATTGATAGGCACCAGATAGCATGCTCCTAGCAATATTTTTAACCTCTATGAGATAGGGGTGCATTAAAAGAGCTCAGTTTTTTCTGCTGCTTTTGCTGACACTAGGTGCCAAATTCCTCACTGACACCGAATAGCCTGCAATCCTAAGCATTATCAATGTCAACAAACAAACACAAACAATACTCCAAACTTTGAATTCCCCTAAGATTTTAAATAGGGGGGAGGATAAATAGAGTGAGGACCAGAGGCTTCAATCTTAGCATGTGAAAAGTGGAATATCAATTTTGGAGGGTGGTGGAGAGAAATTTTGGAATCTGAAAGAAGTTCTGCAGTGCAGGTTTAAATCTACTCTGTACATCAGTAGCAGGTTTTTGTAAACTCATATGCAAGCCATTTAAGACTGGTAACGAATAATATATATTGTGGTATAATAACTATTAAGTGTATGACATTCCATTATTTCACTGCTGTAAATAAAGTTATTCTCTCAAAAGCTTGTAATTGAAATAGTAGAATGGAGGTTTTACATTAATTTAAGAATGTGTTCAAAGTATCTTATTGGGAGGGATTTTCTTTTTAAACACAACTACTATTACTACATCCATCTTGTTGTGCATCATTCATTCTTTTTCTCTTTTCAGGTTTGGTCCTTGTCATCAGGCAGAGCTGGGCAGTGCCTGCACACAATACAGACAGAAGATCGGGTTTGGTCCATTGCCATTAGTCCACTATCAAGGTAACAAAAAGGTCATTGAAAAACCTCTCTTCAATATATGAAGACCTCACATCTAATCTAACTTTTTTTGTTCATAGAGTTGCCTACTCTACAATCACAAGAAGTTTAAAATTCTGTGTCAGGATAGAATCAGTTTTATGACTCAAAAGCCTTATTTTGTCTAAAAGTAGTTACTTATGCAGAGAAAGATATAGGAAGTGGGTTGAACAATATTTCAATTCTGTATATTTTCTAGTTTTTTTCCCACCCTGCCCTGAACCCTAAGATTTGAGAAACTGAAAATTTTGACTTTATTTTATTGATTTGTAAAGTCAAAACTTTCTATTTCATTTGGGGTAGGAGTGGGAATAAAACTCTGAAAAGTTTTGAGTATGCAGTAGTCTGTTAGTTTATGTGGGTTAAATAAATTACCAAACATGGTAGTCAGTTCTACTTCTTACTTGAAAGTACTAAATCAGCTGTTATTTCAGCCTTTTTCAAAAACTTTTACAATACAGCCATCCAGAAGTAAGGAGTTGGTTCCCTTAACAACAGCAAATCTAATCTTTATATGATACATGTAAAACATGAAAAGTGAACAGTGTCATAGCTTTTCAGTGAAAGCAGCATTTTTGGAGTATGATTTGTGTTATGGCAAAGCTGTACATATTCAGAATAATTTATGAAATGAGATTAAATATGGGAAAAGTATTAACACTTAATATTGTACTCAGTTTTCCCCCCATTATCACAGCATCTGACTCACTTGCACAGTGCATGACATCCTCACAATTTTATTGTCCTTGTGCATTTTTCTTTTACTTCCCAATATTTTTTAGATCACTTCACTTAAGTTTGTTTATTTGTTGAAGTTTATGAGTGGTACTGGATTTGCATTAGCCAGTAATCTGATTCCTGGTACTGTTTTTAAAGGATTTGTGGATAGGGAAGTTGTGATTGTCTTCTGTTTCTTCTCTTTGAATGAGTGGTGTGATTCCCCGGCTTTCTTTTAGAAGGCAAAGGTTCCATATATACCTGCAACTGTGAATATTCACACACACTTTTTATTCTGAAGTTTATTTCTGCCTATTTCAATGTGGGAACACACATTAATTGGATAAAAAAAGGAATCACTCTTACTTTCAAAATTCCAGCACTGTTCTTGTGGAACATGCTCCCGTTATAAGCACTAGTTTGAAAACACATGTGATCTTTCAAACTGTTTCTATTTCTCCCACAGTTATGATGCTATGCATTGTGTAACACTTAATAGTATTATAAATTCATGGAGTACAGTGCTGCATTCAGTAATATGTCCCAGTATACAGTGGATCCTGGGAAATGGGATGTGCACATGTTAACACTATTTCTAATTGGTATCACATTGCCATTACAATTTACTGTACCAAACAAAATATTGGATTTTTTAAAGTACAAAATATAGAGCCTCGCTAAGAAGATGAAACTCAAAAATAGCATGAAATGGAAAACCGTATTTGTAGTATATGACCTCGGAATATTGTGGTTCTAGATTTTATTTATTTATTTATTTATTTATATATCAAATTTGTCACCGCCCCAAAAAAACAATAAGCATTATTATTAATTACAATATCCTTTATATATATATTTTGTATTCTAGATTTATTAATCTGACAGAACTACTGTGGGAACAGTGTTCCTTCTAATTTATGACATGCTATGTGGGAAAAAAATTGTTTTGTGCAGCTTTTCCCAAACCATTTTTACATCACAAGACAAGTGTACAAGTAAATTGCAAATAGATGAAATAGCAACATGTTAAAATGTTTACATATTTCTTAAGGTATAGAAACTAGAAAGTATAATAATATGTCATATGCACACTTAAAAGTTGTTCCGGCAAGTCATTTTTTATTCCTGGCAATAGCCCCTGGCATTTTTCAGAAGTGGTTTGCCATTGCCTCCTCCCTAGGGCTGAGAGAGAGTGACCGGCCCAGGGTCACCCAGCTGGCTTTGTGCCTAAGGCAGGACTAGAACTCACAGTCTCCCAGTTTCTAGCCTGGTGCCTTAACTGCTATACCAAACTGCCTTTATATGTACACGCTTACAGATTATAGGGGACGCGGTGGCGCAGTGGCTTAATGACGCTGAAAGTTGCCGGCCAGAAATGGTTGACGCTTCAGTGGTTCGAGTCTAGCCTTC